GTTGCACTTCCCAAGGTGAACTGCAGGCATCATATGTTTTGAAAGTTTTCAACAGAAACTTCATATAACCGTCTGAGAAGTTTACAAACACTTTTTTTTGTATAGTTAATACAAAGGGCCTTAGTTTTACTTCCTTATGTTAACCGAAGACATTTCTATTGGAATTGTCATTCTGTATATTAGTTTTTAGCTCTCCTGTGCACATATTGTTACCTTAATCGACACTTTCTGTATTGTCTTTGCTAAATTGGCTAATATTTATAATTTTCAACCAAATTCACATTTTCATTTGCTGCCTGAGTGTCAGGAGCTCTGCAGCCATAGTGCCTGAGGCGTTTGACTGCTAACCAGAATGCTGGAGGTTCAACCCCACGAGCCACTCCTCAGAAGAGTCAGTCCCCTATGACTTTGTTGATTGCCATCTGCTATTTTTGCAGTTTCATTAATGTTGCCTCTGCCTTCAGCTTATGAATAAAGATGAAAGACTATGCCCTGACCCCTTTGCTTTTTAGAATTCCCTAAAAAACCATACTTGACATTTTATACCAATTATACAAACATAGAGCTTGTTATTACCACTCTTTGCCTGGTGCATAAGCCGTCTTACATTCTTACCACTGTGGTTTTTATCTAAAGCCTATTTTGCAATGAAAATTCTGTCTGGTTTCATCAGCTGCTTTGAGAAGTACAAACATATAACATCTGCAGCATTCTCGTCATCCCTCTCATCTATAAATCCATGAATAAAATCTAGTATATCTGCCCAGCATGAGATTGTTTAGTTAATAAAACCACAAAGCTGATGGGCTTTTGATTTGTGCTTTTGTCTTTGTGGTGTCATCTACGGATTGTCTCCTCATAACAGTTATTTTGTTGTTGTTGTTCGTAACTGACTTCAAACATATGCTATAAGTAATCCTACCAGATTTATGAGGGAAGGTAGAAATTTAGCAAGGGAGGAGGAAGAAGAAAGAGAGAAAAGAAAAGAAAAATATATTTTTCATGATTGCCCAGCTGGCTCCACTGATGGGCTGTTAGCAGTTGTCAATATACTTTCTTTTAAAAGAAATAATTTGAAGACTTTCTATTTTACCCTGGGACTCCCTGGGTACAGTTAGGCCCTTGACTAGTAACTGAATAGTGGATTGCTCGGAGCCCCCCAGAGGCACTCGGAGGACAGCCGTGGCAGTCGGCTTCTGAGGCCACAGCCCCGAACGCCCTGCGGAGCACCGTTGTGTTCTGCATTCGTGGCGTCACCGTGAGTCACAATCAACTCAACGGCAACCAGTTTAGTTTTTGGTTTTTTTTGGGGGGTTGTTTGTTCTTTTGTTTGTTTTTCTTACCCTACAAATGGGAGCTACAGAAGAAGAAAGCAACAGAAATTGTGAAGGCCCATTTAGTTTGCTCAGGTTATAGCAAGCTGACCACCTTGGGAATAAGGGTGTCGGGGCATAGCGATGATGTAGTTTCTCTTCTGTGTAGCCTCCTTCTCACCGCTGTGGGAATTTGAGGAGTTGGGGATGATGAAAAGTGCAGCAGTTCTGTTCAATGTTTATTACATACCCTTTCTGTGAGGCACAGTGGCAATGCAAAGGTGAATACAGTAGTTCTGCCCTCAGCAAGTTTATAATCCAGTAGGATACATTCTACTTTAATTACGTAAAAATAATAACATTGCCAGGGTTTTCCTAGCAGTTATCCAATACTGAAATCTAAGTATTTATAAATATAAGTATATGAAATATAAACCATATATTAAATGTCAACCATGTGTCAAGGATATTCAAGCATTTTATAAACCTCTCCTTTAGAAGGCCTTTTTTTTTACCCCCAGGAGAGCATTCAGATTTGTACTGTGTATGTTCTTGCAAACTAGGGTATTCACATTTTTCTTGTTTATTTATTGAGAGTCTGCTAAAAGAAATTGTGTACATATGGCATTAAGGAGGCCATTTTCTATTAGTAGAATTGGTTGGAACACAGTTTTCCCAAATACTAAGCAGTGTAGGTGGCAATTGAATGCTACAAACTCCCAAAAGTAGGTGTTACTTGTAGCACAAAAGTCTTCTAGGACAGACATGTTTATGATTTGCAGAGTGTTTCTAAGGCATTTTGGTGGTCACCTGATTCATCCCCTTCATTTAAAAAAAAAAAAAAAAAAAAAACTAAGTCCTAGAGGTTTCCTGAAAGCCTAAGAGTTAGTCATAACAACAGGCTAGGAATGCAGATGTCCTGAGCCCCAGTCCATTATTACATGTTCCTTCTTTTCCCGATAACGTAGGGTTTCTATGGGAAAGCAATATGAGAGAAGAGTGTTTAGAAACGTAGGTTTGAGCCAGGTACAGCACAATGAGAATGCCGTGTTCGGTAAAGAACAGGGAGCCCGTTCAGTGCTGCTTACGGCTTTGTTGAGGGACTGTTCTATTTAGAAACATAGGTTTGAGCCAGGTACAGCGCAATGAGAATGCCGTGTTTAGTAGAGAACAGGGAGCCCGTTCAGTGCTCCTTACGGCTTTGTTGAAGACCTGTTCTATTTCTTTTACTTCCAGATCCAGCCATTACACATTCATAGACTAATTTTTTAAAGGTCCATTTACTCAGATGTTGTTTTTCATCACTCTGGGCATGTATCAAATAAACATACTTTTAAAATATATGTATGCAACAGGGGGAAGTCTTTCCTACAGATGTGTCCATCAGATGCCTGGTAACAGTAGGTGCAAAGCCCAGAGAACCCAGAAATAAGAGACAGAGCCCACCAGATGCAGAGAACAGCCAAAAGCCCATCCAGAAAGGTGATAGGTACCAAACATCCCTAACCTAATTGAATTCATAGAATCTGATTATCTCTTTTTCCTTGGCTGGGTTTTGGGAATGTCTGTAGTCTTGTTCTAGGTTAAGGGGAAGAACAGGAGGCCTGAACAGAGGCTAGCAGATGGAAAGGAGGTGTAGATGGGGGAGCCAGTTGGTGGGTACAGAAGTAGATCACTAATAGTGATGAAAAGCTTCAGTGAGTAAAAGGAGAATAAACACAGGTGGCCATAAAAGAGAGAAGAAAATCAAACCAGAGGAACATGACAGCTTTGCGTCATTTGTAGGGCAAGGAGATCCTGAAGGTAAAATGTATTTGTATTATAATACAGAATCATAATATTTGTTCATAGCAAGGACCCCACATCATACAGAACAGGCTAAAATATATCTTGAATTTGAAAGGCAGAGAGACATGAGAAATGTCTTGGGAACCATCTTCTGTAAAACGATTAACCTTTTAAATGACAAGTTGAAGTTTCTATGATCCAGAAAATCTTCTTATCCAGAATATTCATTATCTGATTACGTCAGGAATAAGACATAATTGTGTTTGCATATATTATCTGTCCTGCTCTTTCACTGTGTCTGACATCCCCAAATTCTGAGAGGCTCATCTGTATGTTAGAAGGAAAAGATGGTATGAGACTCTTCTCAGTGAAGCTTTTGTGTGGGTATTCTGTAAGAAAGACGTTAACACTGCCTACGTCTCTAGCCTCTATCCCTTCTGTACTTTCTTGTTCACTAAATAGAAAGGTCTTCATTATATGCTGTTAATCTGCATATGCTACAATGGCTACCTTCTGAGAGAAGAAAAGGAAAATGTAGTAAAATGAAAATAGCACTGACTTTGACACAAGTGGTGCACTGTGGACCTACAGTGGAGAGGCTAAGAGCCTGCAGACCAGAAAGCGTCTACTAACTGCACATTCTCACTGCACACACATGGCGAGCTCAGACTCCAACTATACCAAACTGCTTACAGCTCCCTCAGAAGGACCAGGTGTTTCACCAACCTCTGTGCCTTTGGTTAGCCTGCTTTGGAAATGATAGAAGAAAAAAGTCATTTGAAAGGTAATTTAAATGAAAAATGATCAGAACTTGATTACAAACTAAACTGAGAAGTAGGGAAAAGAGCGAGTCTGAGATCCGAAACACTACATTTATGTTGTTGGAAGAGGGTCATGGAAGACCACTGACAAAAGACCACGGGAAGGTCTGAAAGAAGGATAGAGAGGGGTGGGGAGATCCTGTGGACTTTGAGTTTCCTATGTGTCTGTGGAGTGGTCTGTAGGCATTTGTCAGTACAGACGTGGAGTTTTGATGCGGGGATACCATGAAGAGAGGAATGTGAAATGGTGTCAGCTTTCATACACTCTCTGTATTTCCACCCCAGTTTCCTCCTGTCCAGACCATGACATTTTTCATTAGCTATCTAATGAAATTAAGGATGTTAAGGATGATATGTAAAGTCTGTTTCTGCTTTACAGAAAGAAATTCTGGAACAACAACAGCAAGAGAGAAATGATACCAATTTTTGTGGTGTTTGCATGTTTTGCAGTATGGAATGCTTTGGTAACAGGTTGGTCTTTTACATTTCTTTAAATACTGTTTTCCATTTGAAAGCTCATCAGAACATCTATAACTATTAGTTATATAAATTATCTCAGAACCCTTTTGAATGTCAGCCAGACTTTATTTTTGATAGATGGATAGATAACTTCAAAGATAGGCTGTAGTTGCTCTAGGCCGAATAGGAGAATAAATTTTAAAGGCTCCCAAAGTAATATTATGGGGCTTTTGTGTATGTATGCCTGGTCAAATATATGTAACAAAAGACTTGGCGTTGTACCCATTTTAAGTGCAGTTCAGTAGCACTGATTGCATTTACTGCATTACTGCAACCATCACCACTATCCATTTCCAAATGTTTTTTGTCTCTCTGCAGAGAATCTCAGTACCTCTTAAGTAATCAATCCCCATTTCCCCCTCTTTCCAGCTGCTGGTAGCCACTAATAGACTTTTGACTCTATGTGTTTGCCTATTCTAAGTCTTTTCATATAAGCATGGTCACCCAGTATTTATCCTTTGTATCTGATAGCAACACTAACGTTGTATAATACCATTAGACGAATGCTATTCCTAGCCTGATTTGTTCTTAAATGATTTAAAAATAATGCTGATTGCTCAAATGTTTTCCCAGATCTGTACTTTTGAACCACATGGCCAGAGAACATGCTTTCAACATTGGATTGCCAGACAACATTGTAAACTGCAATGAATTTCTCTGTACCTTACAGAAAAAGCTTGACAAGTAGGTGCCGTTTTATGAAACACAGTTTGGACTATTTTAATCTTGGACTCTAATGTGGATTTTTTCTAAAACACTCAGAAGTAATTAGAAAAGTCAAAGCTACTCATTTGTTGGGTTGGAGAAGTTCACATTTTGTGTGACAGTTCTTATTTTGTTAGATCTTATTGCTTTTACTGTTTCTAAATTTTTCAAATAGAATATATCAAGTATACCAAAAAACTTACATACCATACAAAGTATGTTGTATTAGCCGTCCAAGAAATAGAGCATTATTAATTCATCTGAATCTTGCTGTGTAAGATGTCCCGCCTTACTAGTATCCCCCCAGAAACCAGTGTTGTTGATTTTGGATCCCTTTCCTTTTCACTGTAGTTTTTCTACATCTAGAAAGAAATAAGTATGTTGTCAAATTGTTACATATTATTCAACTTTATGTGAGATACAGCATATTGCATGTATACTGGCTAAAGAACATACCTACATTTACATTTTTAGAAAGGTAATTAACTGGTAAAGCACAAAACCGTTTTTGGATATTAGCTGTCTTTGTCAGTTTTAACTCACAAGCCAAGTTGACTGACTTAACCAACTACCAGTAACCACATCATGACAGACCACAAAGCAAATGAATAATGAGAAGAGCCAGTGACAAGGACGCTCCAGATTGATGTTCTACTTCAATGAGTGATTATATGCCCACTCCTCACTCACCGACTATCTCATCCAGCATTTCACATTTACGACAACTCTGAAAACATTCTCAAGTAGCACCTCTAACAGTCCAGGCCTCACATGGGGTCACAGCTGGGCCCAGGGTACCTTCCATGGTCCATCTTGAATAATATACAGGTAGCCCTGGTGATAACCAGGCCACATGAGGGATGGTGGCCAACCAGCCACAGGATACATTCTCCCAGTTGTCTGTGACATGTCAGTCCAGCAGGACACGAGACAACAGTGGGATGACATGAGGTCAGAGGAAGGCCAGGCAAGAACCAGAAAGGTCAGTGGGAGGAGGCAGAAAAGGGAAAAAAGGAAAAGGAGCCAGGGAAGATGGCGTATGAGCAGGATCACTGAGCAGGACAGGCAGTGGGCGGTGGAGGGCGGGGACAAGCAGGATCCCCACCACCATTCCCATCCCCACCACCATTCCCATCCCCACCACCATTCCCATCCCCACAGGCTCTGTGGTGACAGGGAAGGCATGGTGGGGAAGGGGGACTCATGGCACAACACACATCCTGAGATAAGCTGGGGGTGCCCAAGGGGCAGTAAGCAAGGGTAAGTAAGGGTAGGGGACAGTGAAACCAAAAATAATGCCAGTTTCATGTAATGACCTAATCTTTGGAACCTAACCATGTTGATAAGTGGGGATTGAGTATGTTAACATTTTAATACTCCTTCCTATATGATGATTCTATGTGACCTAAAACTAATAAATATAAAAATAATAATAATAAGGGGCTGTTGCAGCCAACATCTAAGTGACTTGTTCAGTCTATCAGTGTGTGTCTGTTTTTTTTAGCTTGCAATGCTTGTACTGTGAGAAGACCTTCAGGGACAAAAACACACTTAAAGACCATATGAGAAAAAAACAACATCGCAGGATCAATCCTAAGAACAGAGAATATGACAGATTTTATGTCATCAATTATTTGGTAAGTCGTCCTCTCGTAATTTAAATTAGTTGCAGTATTGCAAACAAAATTTTCTAAGGGCCAACTAATATGTGAGCAAGCTATTAGTACAAAGGTCAAAATGTAATTGAAGGGTACTTTTGAGCAGTAATGAGCTTTAAAATGCTTTTTACAAAACATAATTAGATTTGCTGTTGATTTGTGATATATCTATATAGTAAAAACGCCATATCTCTAGAACTCACAGTAATCTTAACCAAAAGAGCAAACATAAAGCACTTGGATATTCACCCTCCTTTTCCCCACTCCCATTTACTGTGTTATCTGTTAACTTGAGGCCAGAGAGTTATATTCTATTTAAAAAACATTTGTTAGACACTGGATATATGAGGTACCATGTAGAGAATTAAAAAAAAAAAAAGTGTCTTCACTCATCTCCTTTCTCCCTAATAAATATTCTACCCTCTTCCCCATCTAAAAAAAAAAAAATCTATCTTTATCAGCCTATTTTCAAGGACACCAAGCCATTTTACTATACAAAGTGACTTTTATTTGTTTGGCTAGTGGGACGGCCTAACTGGTTTACCACGGCAAGGTTTCTAGGTGCACTGAAAGATGTCACATTTCCTAAAAACCTCTGTCCCATTTGCCAGCATAAGGGATTACATTCCCTTTTGATTAAGAAGAGATACTCAGCTGGAAGTAGATGTCACTAGAAGAAGCATTTGGAAATGTGAGGGGGGATTTTTGATTGACAGTGCCTGGTGCGCTTGCACACGATAAGAAGGGATAGGAATCAGGTAAAGAGAAGGGTTAAGTAACTCTGTAGTGGTGTTGGGAGTTCTGTTTCGTACTGGCTTTTAAGCAAATAAAAATTGGTTTTGTTTGGGGTTTTTAATTTGTTTTCTCTCTCAATTTGAATTAATTAAAACCCAAACACAATGGCCACAGAAGGCTAATTGGATATTATGAGACATTTTATCTATTGGATAGCAACAAGCATATCCTGAACTATGTTGGAAATCTCTGCTCATAGGTCTCATTTTGTCTGTTCTAATCCTTATAGTGTTCAAATAAAATTCCCCTTGAGAAGCAAATTCAGTGTGTGTTTGAAGACTGACTGAGAGATTGCCTTGGTTGCTACAGGTGTTTTACACCAGCTAAAGGCAAAGGCAAATGCACCTTTTGAGCCCTTCAATCTTCTGTTAAAATCACTCAATCACACTAATTCCTAGAATAAATTCTGCTTCAGGGCCCAATGCAATCCAGTAGGGAGTGGGCTTCAGTGTTAACTCACCAAGAAATTGTCAGCTGCTGCAGAAAGCTATGGAAAGTCATGTCATAGGAGATCTTCCTGCTGGAGATCTTTTAAACTGCTATTCAGGAGCATGGGACTAACAGACCATTGTATAGCTGGAGTATTTACCTTTGAGAGGAGACTTCAAAGAGACTGCTTGCTCAAATTCTGCTGGCACTTTTAGAAAACTGTGACACTTCATTCCCTGGGCATCATGTAATGTGGCTTGTCAAATCTGAAATCACCTGCTCAGGCCAGCTGTCTTAGACAAGCATACTGGATGATGCTGCCATGGAGTGCCCAGTTTTGATACAAGAAGAATCATGGCTTGAGGCAGGTACTTGAAGAGTATGTGAAGATTTTAGTAACATAGAAAATGAAAATTAAATTGCTTTAGAGTATTACTGATAGAAGAAATTTTTAAGAAAACCTAGCACCTATTTGAGTACTTACTCTGTGCCCACCATTATTCTAGGTAATTTTATCTTATAAATCACTTACTCTGAACTACATCCCGATGGCACAGCTATTATCATTACCCTTATTCTATAGATTAGTAGACTGAGGCACAGAGAGGTTAAGTACATTTCTCAAGGTCACATAGCCAGGGTGAGTTACTTAACTTCCCTGTGCATCGGTTTCCTTCATATTTTTTGTTTGTTTGTTTGTTTAACTGAGTAAACCTACTAAACTGAGTAACTGAGTAATACCTACTTCTTATGCTTAGGGTTAGGTTTCTAAGTATGAATTAAGTTCAATTCATACTGATGTGTTCATCCTTCATTGCCTGTTCTCTTTTGTAATGCACTAGAAAATGAGCCAAGGTCAAAGTAAAACTGACTTTGATCAGCTCTTTAAGGATTCTGACCCACAACATAGGAGCTCTGGTAGCAAAGTGCCTAAGGCATTGACTGCTAACCAGAAGGCTGGCGGTTCAAACCCACCAGCCACTCCTCAGAAGGAAGGTTGGGCAATCTACTTCCATAGTGATACTGCCTCGGAAACCCAGGGAGGGATCGCTATGAGTCGGGTCCGACTCAACGGCACAAAACAACAACAACCCACATTAGCTTCTTAACCCTGTGTGATTTCCTACTGAGGTAAATAGCCAATAATAATAGAGTGATTAAAAAAAAAAAACTGAAGAAGTGTGATGATGCCTTAGCATCACAGAAATGAAGTAAACGTCTTCGAAAAGGATTGAGGGAACTAATAAAGTAAAGATGTATAAATGCCCTAAACTTGTTGTTGTTGTTGTTGTTTGCCGTCGAGTCGGCCCCGACTCATAGCGACCCCTCCTTGGGTTTCCGAGGCAGTATCACTACGGAAGTAGGATTGCCCAACCTTCCTTCCGAGGAGTGGCTGGTGGGTTTGAACCGCAGCCCTAGCAGTCTAGGAATGCTTAAAGAAGAGTGTGGTATAATAGTATAATAATGTGTGTTATTGTGCTGTGCATCATTGAGTCAAATCTGACTCATAGCAAGCCTACAGGACAGCAGAATTGCCCCACAGGGTTTTCTAGGCCAAATTGTTTATGTATGCAGATTGCCAGGTCTTTTCTTCCACTGAGTGGCTGGTGGGTTCAAATCACCAACCTTGCAGTTAGCAAACGAGCACTTAACTATGGCACTGCCAGGGCTCCTTCAATAATATGTAAATGAATATATAAAAGATGGTCCCAAATAATAACAGTGTGTAGAAAAAATGAAGGTTTCTCAGGATGATTTTAGTTTCATTTTGGATCCCCTTAATAAAGATTTTTTGATGCTAAAATAATTTTTTTTATTGTGATTTGGGTGACGATTTACAGAGCAAATTCACTTTCTGTACAGCAGTTCACATATACTTTGTCTCGTGTCATTGACCACAGTTTACCACAATGCAACAGCTCCCCTCCCACTTCCTCCCCATAGTTACCTCTTCCCTGTGTCCATCCCTCCATGCACTCCTGCGCCCTGAACTATCTCCCTGTGCATAAGCAGCCCTTCTTTCTCCCATGATTGTTCTCTCCAAGGAGTGTATCTACCTGAGGTAAATGTTCAACTCATATGCCTGTCTTTTGTTTGGCTAGAAACCACAGATGTGGGTTCAATTCTAGACCTGAAAGGCAGCTAGGGGCCATAGTCTCAGCGGTTCCACCAGGCTCTATTGGACCAGCAAACCTGGTCCCCCCCCCCACTTTTTTTTTTCCTCCAAATGATTTTGAGGTTTGTTCCACATTGTTCTCCCACTCTATCAAGGATCTCCTATATAGATCCCCTTCCAAGTGCATGACAGTAGTAGCCGGGCACCATCTAGTTCTTCTGGTCTCATAGTCATATAGGCTGCAGATCCGATGGTGTACCAGTCGCTAGGACTAATTGTTTCCATGAATTTTGGTTTTCTTCATTCTTCTTTGCTCTGGGCGAGGAGAGACCCATCGAATAAAGAATTTTTAACATGAAGAAATCATTAACATGAAGAATAAATTCTTCTAAAATTGTACTTAAACAATGACTAGAGCAACATGCACCGTTTCTTCCTCTGAGGGAAAAGGCTGATGTGAGTGTAAGCAAGAGGAAGAATTGTGCTTACTGTGGATGTGTCTGTGTCTCACATCTTCTCTTCAGACCCAATTTCATTGGCTTCATACTTTCTACAGACATTTGAGTGCCTTTTAGTGACCAGATTCTGGCACAGAGGGAAAGACATTACAGCCAGAGTGGCAGATTTGAGTCACTGCTCTGCAAGAGATTAGAGCTTAGTATGGGAAACAGACACGCAATCACATTCATTTCAGCACCACAAGGTGTACAGTGGTGGGTACAAAGTTAACATTTTGACCTCTTCTGGAGCAGATAAATGCCATATTTAGTCATTAACCCACAGAGTTTCTTACTTATGCTTCAAGCACATATGGTGTCTCCAGACCAGAGGTGATAGAAGAAGCATCAAGAATGCCCCTAGCAAGATGCCCTCTATTCGGTCTAAAAAGTAGGAGGGAGACCAATGGAGAAAGGAGGCTGGTTTCAGCTCTACTCTGAGCTCAGCAAATTGACAGATTCCTTTTGCCTTCGTAGGTGAGAGAATTTCCATTTTTATTAACTCACGTCAGTATCTAAATCCTAATCTAGTTGGAAATAAATTAAAGATCCTTTTCATAGTCTAGATTGCCCATTTCAAGCTCTTGCTTTATTTTCTCACAAACCAAAGGGTTCAGAAGATGACAAGGTTCCCAGCAGTTTCACATTAGATAGGCCTACCTCAGAGGAAAACTCACATTATCATCAAAACTTTGGCTCCATATTCCTAAGGTCACATTTCAAGCCCTGACTTTCTCTAACTGGAAGGAAACAAAAGAACATTGCCATCAAGTCACTTCTGACTCATGGTGACCCCACAGGACAGAGTAGGAAACCCCCGCCCCAGGGTTTCCAAGACTGTAATCTTTACAAAAGCAGACTGACACATCTTTCTTCTGCAGAGCGCAGAGCCCTTGAGCACTGTGCCACCAGGGCTAAGGAAAACTGTTGTTGCAGTGGTTTTATCATTCTTTGATGTAAATTTTTTTCTTAAACTATGCAGAGCCATCTGTAATGATAATAGGCTCTGAAGCAATTTTTTCATGGTTTTGTTACAGCTCATTAAATCATTACCTTTAAAGCACTTTTCTTTCTGTTTCTGATCAGTTTTTTGTGTGTGAATGTAAGCACATGTGTTAAGTGTACATGTACTGTGGGTGGGGAAGTGCTGGATGCAGGGGAGCCTGTTTCCTCCTGTGTTTTATCCACCCTCTCATTGACCAGAAACCATCTGATGCAGGGGCCTGAGGGGGTGTTCTGAATGTCTTTACTGACATGCCTCCCAAAATTTGTTTTTCTTGTATTCATTGCTTTCCTGACATGATTCATTACCAGGCAGAGTGTCTTAATTAGAGAGTTGCGTGCTTTGTTGTTCTTCTCTTTGGGTCTAGTTCTTGTAATAAGCCATGAATTTAAGTGAACCAAAGCAGTGCACTCTGGGAAAATCTTGGTCACCGTCACGTGCAAACTGATCGTTTCATAACACAGAGATGATTATATGATCCCTAATACATCAATTTCCATTTTCCCCTGGGTGGTAAAAGGTTAACGCTGTGTAGCCGGGATAGATCTTCACGTGTTGTATTGATGCTGAGGAAGTTGTGGAATAATGCTTCAAGTTTGGAAGTTTGGGAATACAGGATACTTTTTGTCACTTTCAGCTCAAGCATTTACTGGCAAATACTGCCCATATAGTTGAGAATGATAATACCACAGATGGCCCACCCTTGAGTAGTATCTTACAGAATTAAAAGGATGACCTTAAGTCTAAGTCCAGAGAGGAAAAGGAAGACATTAATACCTGAAAGATTTCATTCACCACCCGAAATTCTAGTAAGGACCCTGTTGCAGTGTTGAGGCCATTCTTGGTTTCCTGTAATGAGGTTCAGATGACTCATGGCGATGCGCAGAGTACATTATAGAGTCCGAATTAACTCCCTCTGATGACGCTATGGCAGGTCTCTGCATGTCTGAGTTGATGTATCATTTAGCTGATGGATAATGACAGCTTCTAAACCTCTCATTAATCTGATGAATGATGGATTTCCTTTTCTCCCTTAAATCATAATGGGACCAGTAGTTCTTTGTTTTTAGCTAAATGAATACTTTTATTTAGAAGAAAAATGTTCATAATTGAGAAAGAATTATGATTGTGTTTTTTCCAAAAGGATGATGTTGAACAAGGATAGCTTACTATATATATAGCTTATGAGCTTATAAGTTGAGCTTGACTGTAACCATATTTTAGCTGCTTGAAAAGAATGTCCAGTAATGTTCCTACATCCCCTTTTAGTACCGCTATCTGCTTTTGCATGTGTCACAGTTGGAAGATTGAGTAGAGAAAGAACATGGAGCAAAAGAGGAAGAAATGGCTTAATGGAAAGAAGAGAAATGGTTGGGGCAAAGGATGTCATTTCTGCCCGTCATTCCATAAAGTTTTTCTGAAACTGTGACAAGGCTTGCCAGATACAGCCCTGAAAGGGTGGGACATCTCCACTGACTACAAAGGCTGAAACCATTTGGACAGATAGATACTCAAGCACTTACTATTGTCAGGTACTGTGGGCTTTACGTACAGTGACTAAGGCATTGATCACTTTACAAAAACATTTTGAGGTAGGGTCTAAAATTTGCCTCAAACATCTAGATTATCTCGTTAAAGTTCAATTCAACAAATGCTAGCCCCCACTGTGCACCAGGCACTAGAAGTGGAACAGGCCCTCATGGACTGAATTCTAGTGGGAGAGACAGATAGCAAATGAGAAGACAAGTGGATATATAAAATGATTTCAGGCAGTAATCAGTGCTTTGAAGAAAACTAAAATGTCACAGAAATAAGCTATGACTTGAAAAAAATACGTCACTGTGATAGTTGGAGCTGTGTCAACTTGGCTGGACCCCAGTTCTGTGTGGTTGTTCCCATGATGGGATCAGATGACTGTGTTCTGAGTGGCCAGTCTGCCCAAGGGGAGTTTCCCTAGGGGTGTGGCCTGCTTCCAGGATATCCAGGAACATCCTAGGTAGAGAGACATTCTTCTGTGGATCGGGACCCTGGTGTGCTGCCTACAACCTTCTGTGAGTGAGCAGCCCACCGCTCAGCCTGGAGATCTTGGATTCATCTTTCATCGGAGTCAACAACAAGTGTACTGCCTGTCAGCCTTGAATTTCTTGGCCCTCTGCGGTTGCGGAAGTTAAGGCTGCCTCCAGCCCGACGTTTCCTCCGGGGACTTTGGACTTGCTGGCTTCTATGCGTTTGTGAGCCATTTTCCTAAGATAAATTTCTCTCTCTCTCTCTCTCTCTCTCTCTCTCTATATATATATATATATATACATAAGCTTTGCTGGTTTTTGTTTCTCTAGAGAACGCAGTCTAACACAGTCATTTTGGACAAAGTTGTCAGAAAAGACCGGTGGTTACCTGGAAGCTGAGACCAGGAGGCCTCAGCCGTGCAAATGTGTGGGCAACAGTGTTTCTGGCAGAGGAAGCAATTAAGTGCAGCATTGCCTAGGTGGGCGTTGAGCATGATGTTCAAGGCACAGCAAAAAGGCCAGTCGTGGCTGGAGCAAGTTGATCAAGGGACAAGTGGCAGGAAGCAGGGATGCAGAAGGAACCAGGGACAGAGCATAGAGTTGTTATAAGCCATGGTGAGGACTCTGAATTTGGTTCAAGGTGTAATGGGAAGCCATAGGAGCATTTATGTAAACAAGGAGATGTCCTTTAGAAAGACCACTGTGGACGTAAGAGGACAGTGCTGCTTTTCCAAAAGAAAAACATATTATGAAAGCAATTTAGGACATACCCTTCCTTATCACTGAAATGAAATGTCTAGTATATCCTACTTATATTGTTTCAAAACCATTTGAGTGTGGAGTTTTCATTTTTAAGAGTTGTGTGTCTGGTTTTTTTTTTTTTTTTCCTCTCTCTCCCCTATTCCCCATTTCTCTAATCCCTCTGTCCTTCCTACATAGGAACTTGGAAAATCTTGGGAAGAAGTTCAGTTGGAAGATGATCGGGAGTTGCTAGACCATCAGGAAGAGTAAGACTTGTTACTGCTGCTAATTCCAGTGTTTTCCAGAGTAGAAAAACATTTTTTCAGTTTGGTTTAAGATTATCTTTGGAGAATGTCACCTGACAGAATAAAAAGAAAGAAAACTAGTTTTTTTCTGAGATTTATGTCCTTTGATATAATGTGGCAAAAACTTGAGTTCAAAATATTTTTAAGTAATAATCACTAAAGCATGTGTCGTTCCAACTAATAGTATTTTGCTATTAAGCTATTTATTAATTGAACCCCATAGATTATGTACAATTCAGAGAAAAGTACATTTCAGAGTTCTTTGCTGACTCCGTTGGTGCCCAGATCTTGAAGTGATAGGATCTTTGAACACTCCATGTTGCTTATTATTGGAATAGAGAATGTAACCGAATTGGAATTAACCTTGTCAGTGGTCATCCCATTGATGACTAACTTAAAGCATTCGCAGCTTCTTTGCCTGAAATCATAAGCTTTGAGAAGAATTCTTTTCAACCTGAAAGGATTTCCTTTTATTCATCCTCTTTTCATTCAAAGCTGTTTGGTCTTTTTTCTCTCCCAGGATTCTGAATTAATATTATTTTATTGAAGTAAAGCCCAAAGTTGGAGAGTTGCCATTTGCCAACATTCTTTGATGCATGGAGAGTCGGGCAGTGAGTCCTCTAGACTAGAATAAAAACATTCTTTCGCATTAGGGCATACTAGTTAGAATGCTTAATGGATGGATTCTGGCCTTTAAATGCAGAAATAATGTGATGACCTGGTGCAGGTATGCTGGTGACTCCCTCCTGGATGGACAGGGTTAGGGGAAAGACTCCCTGCTTTCTAATAGGAAAGCTTAGTTATGAATTGGGTTGGGTTAATCTTCAAAGTCATGGCAGTCGTCATTTCTGAACTTGCCATGAGAAATTCTGCCTTCTTTGAGTTTGAATGGGCAGTTCCTTGTCATTACAACTTTTTGCCCTACTCGTAGTTTTCCTGATTTAGGAAAGAAAAGAGCTGGCAGTATCTCTAAAGATAAATACAAGGAGAAGGAAAGGTGGTGAAAGGGATCTTGTGTGCCTTTGGAATTCTCCATCACTTGGCCCATTTAACATGATCTGTATTTCCCTCATGAAAGATGCATGCTTTGCCTTTTTTAAAATCCACCACCATTTGTCATGCAGAAACACACTCCCAGCATCGCACCTCACAGCATGTGCACTCGGTGGTTGTAGCTAATGAGAGTGAGCGTCACATCCCTTGATATGTCTCCTTTGCAAATTACACCTAGTTGTCTCCAAAAGAGATTGCACTGATTCTGTGGTGAGTAACTGCTTACAAGAGAGGCAAATACAGGAAAATGGAGCAGCACCTGTTCACTGTTTATGTTAATTTCATGGTGCTGCTTTGAATTTCAAAAGCTGTATCAGCAAGTTCATAATATGATGTGACAGTCTTTACAAAAAATGTCAGAGTTGAAAGGAATTGGCAGGGGTTCCTAGGAGGAGTCACTGTGTAGTAACCCTTAATGAAGGGAACCTCCATGTCTTCTGTTTCCTTTTGAACACAGTGACTGGTCTGATTGGGAGGAGCACCCTGTCTCTGCTGTCTGCCTGTTTTGTGAAAAGCAAGCAGAAACAATTGAGGCATTATATAGCCACATGGAGGTAAGATACTCATATTCATTTGAAATTTATTTTGCTCTGATACAGGTAAGCTGACACTGATTGGAGCCTCATCTACTGACACCTTTTGTTTCTCGATCTTGGTCCCATTCCCACAAATGCCATGGGCAAAACAGAAGAGACAAGCCAGGTTCAGCCAGGAGAACCAGATCTCTGGGCAATTAGTTAGTGCAGTTGTGTGGACCCGGGAGAACTATTGTGTGAGATTTCACAGACTGTTGATTTAGACTCACCTTTGAGAGAAAAAGTTCTCGCTCTGAAAGTGGGATCTGCACCTGTGTGCCCATGGTTATGCACAGATCTGAACACGCTCCGAGTCCTTTTCCAGTGCTTCCTGTGCTGGTGAATAAGGACAGCAGGAAGGAAGAGAAGTGGCTGCCATTTACAAAGCTCCTATGGAAGCAGAGGCCTCTCGGGGTTCGTGGAAGACCACCCAAATGTACTCTTGCAGCTCCTTCAGGTACAAGTATTGGAGGGAAGAAATTGGGGTACATTCACAGTCTGTACTTGAACGTGTGGATGCCAATTTTATGTTGTAAAGAAGCTTGAAGCTAGACATTCTAAGCCTTTTTCACCCCAGTGTATGGGAGAGAGATGACATTCGACACCTCTGATCACTGGACAGCGTGGGTGGGAAAGGAGAATGTCTGATGATTCACCACTGTATCACTGCATAGAGGAAGAGGGCCGATTGTAATAGAAAAATATGATTCTTACATTCCCTTCCACCACCTCTGCAATAGTGGAGATGCCTCTCCCTTCACCCACCTTCACTCCAGCCTCCTTCAGAGCTACTGCTTATTCAGTCGAAGAAGGACCAGAAGATGGTAGAAGACCCATGAACATTGTCCCTTAATGAAAGGAGAGTCATTTTCTCTGAAACAAGGTGCCACTATACGCATGTACACTTTCCTCTGCCTAAACTTAATTCACAGTCTCCCAGTATCTTTGAATTGGAAGGAATCTCCGTGTCCTTGCCCAGATCTCAGGGCAGTGTAATGTAGAGATCCCCTCTGCAGCTTCCGTGGCAGGGCTCCTCACCCCTGCTTAGTCACTGTCAGTGATAACATATGGAATTCCTGGTTATCCTGGGTATGGTGCCACACTAGATGTTGTGCACAGTGCATTAGATGGCATTTGTCCTCCATGAACATGTAAGTTAAAACACTTAAACAAAGAGACTGGCATTGGCCCCATGGAACAGCAGTGGAACAAACAATAAATAAAAGTTTCTGCATGGCAAAAATCAAAAGAAGTGTAACTTGTGGGAAGACGTGAGTGAAGAGAAGCTTGCAGATTTAAGTCGTATATTTGACAGCATAAAATGAAAAGTAAAAATCCCTATCTGCATTTGGAATAAAGGACCTGTAAGGAACCCTGGGGGCACAGTGATTAAGCACTCTGCTGCTAACCGAAAGGTCAATAGTTCGAACCCACCTGCCGCTCCATGGGAGAAAGATGTGGTGGCAGTCTGCTGCTGTCAAGATTTATAGCCTTGGAAACCGTATGGGGCAGTTCTGCTCTGCCCTGCAGGGTCACTATGACACAGAATTGGCTTGATAGCAGTGGTTTTTTGGAGTTGGTGCTTTTTGAAATCCATAATTCTAGTCCAGATGTACCATACCGCAGAGCCACATCTTACCTAGAGTCTGACGACAATTTTTGTCAAACTGCAGAATGTGTACATAGTGAAATGTAAAAACTGCAGCTATAAGCTGTGAATAATTAAAATGTGTAACTGATTGGCATGACTTGTTTGCTCTGTGCTTAAAAAAGCAGTTGGATGTGGGAGAAAACAGGATGGGACACTTCAGAAGCAGAAGATGGTGAGCTCAGCCTGAGTCTAACGTGCTCAGGTGCCTGTGAATCAGCTGTCTGCTTGTAACTTCAGCACGCGTGAGTGAATAATTCATATGCTCACGGAGGTATTTGTTCCCCTTTTTTAGGATGCACATGAATTTGATCTCCTCAAAATAAAGTCAGAACTTGGTGAGTTTGCTTCAGAAATTGTTTTCCATGATGGTGTACCTATTATATACAATATGGTAAATGATACCTGTTGTTCTGTAGTCTTGACTGGAGAGTACATGGTCCCATTGTATCTCTGTACAGATAGTTTTACAGAACTGTCTGAAGCAATGATTCTCAACTATTTCAAACTGTAATTCTCAAATATGATTTTTTATTTCACACAGTTTTCTTCCTCTTACCTACATATATAAGTGCTTCAAATAAAATATACATTAATGCACACGTTATCACATAGAAGAAGGGGGTAGTAGAAAGAGCTTGGAGTTTGGAGTCAGACTAGAGTTCATATTTCACCTCCCTCCAGCACATAGTGGCTGTGCAACCTTGGGCCTCAGGTTAGAAAAATGTCATGGAAGCTGGATAACGCGTGGAAAACACCTACTGTACTGCCTGGCAGTGCACCTAGTATCGTTTGTAGTAAGTGTACCCTATTGTATCTTTCTCAGTATTACTGTGATCAAAGCATTAGATGCATTACCATGTAAAGTACTAACTTGCTAGTGGATCCAAGACGGTACAAAGCTCAGTTTCCACACCTCAGCTCAGTGACTGCTTTTCTAGATTGTGGAGTGTATTGCTTTCCTTTGCCGCTCTTGTCAATCCGTATCTGCATGGTATTTATCATTAGCTTAGTAGTTAAGAACATGGGCTTTGGATAGAACAGCCTGGTATCAAATCCTGGCTCCATCACTTACTAGCCATGTTTCCTTACACAGTTTCCTAAGATACTCTTTGGGTTATGGTACTACTACCTACCTGGTAGGGTTTTGTGAGGAGGAAATATACTGATACATAGAAAGTTATTACAACAATGCCTAGCATGTAAGCCCTACCTAAGTGTTAGCTGTTATTTTTCCTTATGCTCATTAGTTGGAATGCCTCTTCACGTTGGTTAATAAAGCTGAATGGCTCTCTTAAAAAATTATATAGCAATGCAAAAATGGATCTGACTAGTTGTCTAATGATTCTGCATACTGTCATTTTCAGGATTAAATTTCTATCAGCAAGTGAAACTGGTCAACTTCATTCGGAGGGAGGTTCACCAGTGTAGGTGTTATGGCTGCCACATGAAGTTTAAATCCAGAGCAGACTTAAGGACTCACATGGAGGAAACAAAACACATTTCACTGCTTCCTGAAAGACAGACATGGGATCAACTGCAGTAAGCATTGTTCAACCAGATGTATACTTATTTTCTCTATCACCCTCATTTTATCCCTTTAATTTGTCTAAACTTTAAAAAAAAAAATTAAAGGAAATCATGTTCATTATAAAATGTAAAAAGCTTCCAAAACCTTATTTTTAAAGTACTCCTCTTACAAATGAGACTATTTCAGAATTTGTCATGTAGAGGTAGACATAAATGTAGATAGATATAGAAGTATGTCTATAGGTCTCTGTATCTCACTAAGTATATCTTAGGAGCTCTGGTGGTACAGTGGTTAAGGCATTTGGCTGCTAACCAAAAGGTTGATGGTTCGAACCCACCAGCCACTCCATGGGAGAAAGATGAGCCAGTCTTCTTCCATAGATTTACAGTCTTGGAAACCCTGCAGGGCAGTTCTACTGTAGGGTCACTATGAGTCAGAACTGACTCAATGGCAGTGGGTGATGGTGTGGTAGGTATATCATTTTGTTAACAGAATATTGTAAGCTTCTTTCCATATTCATTAAATATCTGTTGCATCATTCTTTATGGTTACCAAGTATGTATGCATTATATGGATATACCCTAATTTGTTAAATATTTATGTTGCTTCTTATTTTTTGTTGTTATCATAAATAACAAAAAATGAGTATCTATATCCCTACATTTTTTTATATTTATCTAATCTAGATAAATTCCTAGAAATAATATTACTGTGTTGAATGTATGGACACTGTTAGGGCTTTAGGTATATAGTTTACATCTTGGCACCTTAACGAACAATAAGCAGTTGCACCTATGAGGTGCTCACTGTCAGCCTACAGGGTAGCCTTTGCCAGTCCAATCCTTCTGTACTGTTTGTCACATCTCACTGGGATAACTCAGGTGAGGGGACTTCTGAGAGGCTTTGGGTTTCTTAGTAGCCCATTGGTTTCTCTAGTCTCAGAGAATGTTAAACCAGGTCCTAGAATTCTAGCCCAAAAGGTCTAGTGTTTCTCCTTCAGAAAAATCCTAGAGTTGTGAGAGCCAAGGTCAGCCCTGGGTTGAACCAGTACCCTGTTCCTACCATTCTTACATCAGAAGCCTCAGGGGTACCCTGAACTGACTCCAGAGTGTGTCCAAACAAGGAACCAGAATAACTAACTTGAAATTCAACAAACATTTCCGTTTTTGATCACTGGTTGGAAAACAAAACACAAGGGGAAACAACCATTTTCAACAGATAACTTGAAAGATTTATACATGAAAAGTAATTACATTTGAACTTTGTTAACCTAGAGGGAGGAGTTCTGGTGGCATAGTACCTAAGGCACTTGACTCCTAACCAGAAGGTTGGAGGTTCAACCCACCAGCCACTCCTCAGAAGGAAGGTTGGGCAATCTATTTCCGTAGTGATACCGCCTCAGAAACTCAAGGAGGGGTCACTATGAGTCAGAGACGACTCAACGGCACATAACAACAACCTAGAGGGACGCACTAGGACCTTTAAGTAGAAATGACAGTGGTGTGGGTTTTAGCTTCATATAAGGAGATATTTCCTAATAAGAGCTGTCCAGTACTAGAGAAGGCTGCCTTTTAGGACAGTGAGTGTCTCACCACAGTAGATACCAAGCAGAGGCTGAATGGCCAGTCAGCAGTAGCTGTGTAACATTACTTCATTCTGTAAGATTGATATCAGCCAGTGAAAGTGAAGCTCAGAGGTTGTCCTCTTTATACAAAGCCCACTGCCATCAAGTTGATTCCAACTCATGGCAACCTTCTAGGACAGAGTAGAACTGTTCCATAGACTTTCCAAGCCGGTAAATCTTTACAAAAGCAGACTGCCACATCTGTTTCCCACAGAGTGGCTAGTGGGTTCAAACTGCCAACCTTTCAGTTAGCAGCCAAGCACTTAACCAACTGTGCCACCAGGGCTCCTCATCTCCTTTACAGCCATTGCAAACTGCTGTTGAAATTACAACAAAATTACAGAGATAGACTGGGTGGATGGATGGATGAATGGACAGACGGAAGGACAGATGGATGGACAGACAGACAATATATAGTAATGCTACGTAGAAATCCCTGTATAATTTATTAGTTGGTTACTCTATGTATCTGTGATTGTTTCAGGTACTATTTTCCAACCTATGAAAATGACACTCTCCTGTGTACACTGTCTGACAGTGAAAGTGACCTAACAGCCCAGGAACCAAATGAAAATATTCCTGTCATCAGTGAAGATACATCTAGACTGCATGCTTTAAAACAAAGCAGCATTTTGAACCAGTTGCTACTACAAGATTGTTTGAAAAACTAGAGGAAAGTGCTACAGCACCAATTTTGAATGTTTTCTCCTGTGCGGCAGATATGCACATCAGCAAAGCGTTAATCCTTGGTGAAATACACTTTTTTCAAAGTTTTCAGAAAATAAAGTAGAAAAATACAATCAGGGCATTTTGTATAGTAGCTGTAGAGTTCTATTGTGTAATTATTTTCAGTGATCTTGTTTCATTCGATCCATAATTATCAATGATAATGAGGACATGGAAATCACAAATAAATGATGTTCCAATTATTTATAAAGCTATTTTCAACCAGTAGTTGTCCTCTCCCCACAAACCTTCACCCAGTGAGTCAGAAAATCTGACAGAAGTGTTCTTCCTACATTGTACTTGCTATGCTATACGTGAAGTGACCAGAAGAAGAGCCGTGGAAGAACGGAGGAGACAGTCAAAGCCCTGATAGTGCACAGATTGAACACTATTGCAAGAGAAACACAAGCTGGTTAGGGCATTGTCACTGATGTTGTTAAAAGTTGCAAATCTCCCTAGAAATGGACATCAAGCCAATTGACTTCCCCTCCCCAGCAGTGGGTAAAGAACATTTCACTAATCGGAACTTTGGTACTATTAGATAAAGGCATTTTTGTCTGATTCAGGAATCTGTTCTGCCCATGACCTCTTCACATAGAATGTCTTATTGTCAACATTAGTTAAACAGAAGGCACTTGTTTTGCTTAATGTAGCTTTGTCCCACAGTCCACCACTACACTGATACACACTGGGAATTCTGTCTGTTAAACTGAAGAGGTATTTGGGGTGACAGGAGAATGGTGTTCAATGTGATTTTAACCTAAATCTTGGTGTTTCATGGATTTGTGTTCCAATTGTGTGTGTTAGCATGAGAAATCTAGAGTTAAATAAACAGAAAACAGAATGTTTACCCAGATCCTCGGAGCCATATGATTTACATTATAATAGGAAAAGCCTACCTGCCTCAATTACTAAAGCACTTAAGCAATCTGGTGTAGAGTATAATCTTGCCCTTAGTTTTTTTATCTGTTTAAATGCCAATAATTCAAGTAGTGCTAAAGATTAAGCTCCCCATCCTCACTAAATGTTGCATCATTTAAAATTACTTAATAACAAAAAAAAAAAAAAAATGGTCTTTTTTGAAAACATTCTTTCATCCCCTGTCCAGGGCATTATATTCTTACAGAGTTTTCACCCTTGGAATTTTCTTGGCCAGTGATTCCCCACCCCCCCAGGGGTGGCATCCTGACTAGAATCTGCAATGCCTGAATCTAAAATGGGACTCCAGAGCCTTGCGAGTGAGAATGGGCAAGAAGAGCCTGTCCAATTTGCTGGTCTGGTAGAGCCTGGTGGAACCCCTGAGATTAGCTGCCCTTCAGGTCTGGAATTGAACCCACTCCTGTGGCTTCCAGCCAAACAAAAGGCAGGCATATGAGCTAAACATTTACATTAGGTAGATACACTCCTTGGAGAGAACAATCATGGGAGACGAGCAGGGCTGTGTGTGCACAGAGAGACAGCTCAAGGGCCAGGAGTACATGGGAGGGAAGGCCACAGGGAAGAGGTGGCTGTGGGGAGGAAGTGGGAGGAGAGCTGTTGCATTGTGGGAGATTACAGTCAATGTCATGAGACAAAGTATATGTGAACTGCTGTATGGAAGATGAATTTGCTCTGTAAATTTTCACCCAAAGCACAATAAAAATTTTAAAAAAAATAAAAGTGACATGGAATTAAGCCAAGTGCTGGAAATACTTAAATAGATGTTTTTTTAAAAAAAAAAAGCCTGCCCAAACAGCCTCACATATCTACCAAAACGCCTTAGAATGCAAGCTGCTGAATTTGCTTTTCAAGCCCAGTGTGATCTGGAATGGCAAGGAAGATGGAGGCAGGATTACCTTTTAGTCACTAATGAGGAAGAAACTGTATGCTCTTTATAGCGACCCGGCCTGTACATGGTTCATTTTATTATGGAAATATATAACATTCACAAAAGTAGAGTGAATAGAATAATGAACCGCATGTTCTCAACACCCAACTTCAGAAAGTTTCAACATTCTGCCTTTTTTATTCCATCAGCCTTCCCCCTAACACACAGTACTTCGTTTTTGATGGAATATTTGAAAGCAAATTCCAGACATCGTATAATTTTATCTTTAAATACTTAAGCATATATCTCTAACAGTACCATTTTCTGAAACACAAACAACATTTAACAAAATTAATGATAACTTCTTAACATCATCTGTTTTCAGTATTTCCCAGTTATGTCAAAAATGTCTTATCATAGTATTATCGGTTATAGGGCAAATATCATGCCTCCTGATAAGATGCACTGGAGAGGACAGACCCTAACGTTTGTGGGTGTTCATAACCTGAATGCAAGCATGAAGAAATGTCAATCAAACTATCATTGGGGGGCCATGTCCAAAATAATTAAAATGTCAAGGTTCATTAAAAACAAAGACTGAAAAACTATTCCAAATTACTGAAAACTAAAGAGATATGACAAGTAAATGGAACATGTAATCGTGGACCTGGAAGAATACATTTCTTTTGCTATAAAAGACGTTAGTGAGATAATTAGCAAAATTTGAATAAGGTAAATTTTACAATATTCATGTTACTTTCCTGATTTTGATAATTGTCCTGTGATTATGTATGAGAAAGACCTTGTTTTTACACACTGAAATATTTAAGGGCAGTGGTGTTTTCTTTGCAATTTATTCTCAAAACAATTCAGAAAAAGACTAGTATGGCTATCTGGAGAGAGCAATAAAGTAATGTAAGCTTTTAACATTTGCAGAATCTAGGTAAAGGGTATAAGGATGTTCTTTGTACTACTGGAACTTTTCTGTAAGTCTAAAATTACTTCACAATTAAAAGTTTTTAAAATGTTGTTTGCAGTTGGTTTTTTAAATCAGGACCCAAGTGGGATCCACCCATTGCATTTGATTGGTAAGGTCCTTAAGGATTAACCCTCCCCCTTTTTAATATTGCTGGGTCATTTCTCCCATTTTCTAAATTTGGCTAATTATATCCTCTTGGTATCACTTCACATGTTGCTCTATCACCCATTTTTTTCTGCCAAAAAATGGTTAGATCTAGAAGCTTCATTAAATTTGGGTTCAAGAAAGTTTTTTTGCATCACGCCAGGCAAATAATATCTGATTGTACCTGTTCTAGAGATGTCAGTAGATCAGTGCCTTCAGCTATTGTCTGATGTATTAGTAACAATTTCTCCAGTATCTTTTATCAAACGATTTTGGCATCCATTGGTTAATTGTTGCTGCCTAGATCTGTTATTGGGAGCTCTGGTAGCATAGTGCCTAAGGCACTTGACTGCTAACCAGAAGGCTGGCGGTTCAAACCCACCAGCCACTCCTCGGAAGGAAGGTTGGGCAATCCTACTTCCGTAGTGATACTGCCTCGGAAACCCAAGGAGGGGTCACTATGAGTCGGGGCCGACTCGACGGCATATAACAACAACAACAACAACAACAGATCTGTTATTTCCTTAGGGGTTTCTAATTAGAAAACAGTGGTTTTCTGATTCCGTCATTTCCTTCAGGCAGGTTCTTTATGCAGTATGTTTGTTATAGAGCACACGAGTGTGTTTTCAGCTGTTCATGCTCCAAAGCTAATCTTGGAGTCATGTGGCCTGTCCAGTCAGCTCCTCCAGCCATGTGGTTCTGAGTTTACTAAATTTGTAAATTACATAGACTCTAGCCATGGCTTTAGATTTCTAGGTCTCCAGCTGTGCATAAACCCACTGAAAGCTGGCACAATTTTATTAATAAACAAAGCAAATAAGCCTTTATTATAATGGGGGGGGGGATGCCTTCTTGGGTTGAGTTAAAGACAATTAAGTTGAACTGTTTAAAACTCAAAAGGTAAGAAGGCAATTAGGCCTGTGCCTAGAATGCTCTATCTCTAGAAATCAGAATTGTTCAGGAAATGAGTAGGGTCTCTACTGTTTTCTAAAATGTGCTTCAGTCTTACTCAGAACAGGAGCAATGGATGAATGAACAAAAAGAATAAAATTAAGGGTGAACAGGAGAAAGCCTGTAAGAGAAAATGCTGGGGTTTTAGAAGCTCAATCAGATAGATATGAAAGGGAAAAGGAAATAGTGAAGGACGGTGCAGGGAAGAGATGATGTACTTGGGCTTAGGTCATAGAGTATTCTTTTTAATGGGCAGATTTGGGGAGATTTTTTTAAAGATACAATGGAAACTTGGACCTAAAGAAATCTAACAAGAATTGAAGCAAATATGAGCAAACTTTGAAGACTGATATTGTACTCTCTTAGAACTTTATCGATACACGTTGATAAGAACCACTGAGGAACCACTCCTTCACGACAGGGATGGCGATACCAAATGTGGAATGTCTGAACAATTTGAAAGGTGAGATCAGTCCAATGGAAATAAGCTAAGAAGATATTGGATGAGCTTCCAAGTGTCATTATAATTGCAGATAGGGACACAGATGTTGCCTGTACCCTGAGAAATGTTGGAATTAATACTCTAAGTGAAGGCAAAGGTGAAGAGAGATGAATCAATAGAGGAGAGCAGGGCAGGACAGTGGCAAGTGGATTCCAATCTGGGTTAGCTGTTAGTCCAATGAGAGAATACTTGCTGGTTAGGATTACCTCACTCAGAATGCTGAGGGTGGCCAAGATGTTTTTTGAACAGTGCTTGATTTCCCCAGACCCAGGACCTAGTGACTTGTCTCTCACAATAACAGGCTCCATTAGACAAAATCTGGGACAAAATCTTAGATAAGTGCATGTAGTATTAGGCCTACATGTGTTGGGGAAGGAAAGGGATCAACTTGAAACAAGGTATACTGTCAAACTCAGCTATTCCTCCCTGAAAATGGTAAGGGAAATCGTACACTGGAAATTATACACTCACGTATATCCAATTATAGCAGAAAAAGGAATAGCAGAGAGAAATACTGCTGGAGTCCTGGACCAATCAAAAGCAGGAAAATGTGTGTAGAGGGGAGCTCAGCAGAGGTATCAATCCTCACCAGGTCCCAGTATGACTAGTATGGTTGTCCAACATCTATTCTCCCTTTCGTCAGTAATTGTTAGGTGCCATTGAGGGAGCTCCAACTCATAGCAACCTTGTGTAC